AGTTCTTGGAAATTCTCCAAAGCGGGTGAATCCCAGTTTTGTGCACGAGAGCGCATGACCGCCAGCTTACGTGGACTCACATAGTTGTGTTTACAACTGCCCATTGTTTTTGAGGCCAGCATCTGTTAGCCTCATATCACTGCCACGCCAGGTCGTTGAGATCTGGACTCTGTCTCGAGCAGTGTTCTTCAGCTTTCATTGAAGTCTGAGCATTTTACTTCTTCAACATCAGTCGAATGGGTAGGTGAGGTCGGAGTCATACTGTAAAGCCGCAGGATCAGCTCATCTGATCGAAGAGCTTTCATTAAAATAGCTAACAATTTTATGTGACATAACCTCTAAAAAGTCAGGTCATCACCGTTGAAAATTGTGTGTGCTTACGATTAATTGCTGCGAAGATATTAGCTCACAGACAGTGGGAAAAGCAGCCCAGGTCGGACCGCGTTAGTTAAAATTGCTACCTTAGCTCCCTTAGATCCACTCAGCCTGCAGCATAGCTCCTACAACCGTTGAGACGAATCCAATCTTAACCGAAAAATAGTGCTAAAATTGCCAGCGATGCTAAAATATCTCAGTATTTAGTGCAGAGCTGGCCACATGGGCATGCAAGCTGAAAGTGTGCTGATGGGACTTCGTAGCAACTTGGTTACGGCTGTTTCTAGTTCAATTTTCACTTGTTAAGTGGTACAGTTGTGTTCATAGTGCTCTGCAATGGTTTACCTGCTAAGTTATATACACAACAGTACAGTCAATCTGCAACGTATGTATGCCTCTGAAAGCCAGAGAATCCGCGTAAATTCTGATCACTGAAGGCTCGCGGTGGATAGTTGATAGCCTTGAGCAAAACCACACCATCATGGATAAACACCATGACACCATCGCCTTGATCTCTAATGTCTGGGGCCGTCGGAAAGTTACTTAAGCTTCTTATCAAGAGTTCTCGGCACAGCATTGTCGATAAGTCCAGAGAGGGCCGAGCTTGAGATTTTGTAAAATCAGCGCGTCAAAAATCCCCATCACAGGGCAAATCCACGTTACGGTCATTCCAGGGATGCCTGCGGCATCACCGAACAGACTTATGACGTTTAAAACGAATTTTACCTGACAGCAGGACTCGTGACTTATGCCCGACTTTTATGTCGTGCCATAATGGGGATTCCATTAAACCTTCGTGAATAAAATTCAAATCACACACCAAAGGCGGCTGTCGATCCATTCACCAAACTGAATACGTCTGCGTATCAAGTCGGCACAAAATGCCAGGGCCAGAACGTCACGTGCCAGCAGGATGTAGTGAAGGTGTTGGGACTGTCTGATCCCGCCCTGTTTCGTACTAGACCACGGTCGATACCACATCGTGCGCACTGCACCAATCAACAAAGATACTGCATCGTACTGCATCGTACTACGTCGATCCTACATCGCACTGCACCAACCAGCAAAGCCTGTCAACTCTTCCGACCACAGCGTGCTCTAGCACCTCGTTCTTTGGAAATTCTTATCTCTGCTGAGGCACGACTTCAGATGCGTCATAAAAACTGGTTTAAAGGCATTGTGCAATGTGCATGCTATGCAGGCTGGCACAGCTGCGACTTATAGTAACGTTGTAAGTTCATCTGTTGCGGGTGTCGTCCGCCACTAAGCCCCGCCTCGAGCACCTCCAGAGTGCCGGGCGCAGGTCCAGCCGGGACGCCGCAAGAGGGTGCTGCCCGTGACGGCCGAACCCGGTACAGGCTTGGCCGTCAGTATGTGAGCCAGCTGCGCCCTGCCCACCACCGGCCGTACTGAGAGCGGCTGCCTCCTGGCTGGGAGGCCCGGTCACCGTCTGTGGCCCGGGCCCACTGGCGGTCGTCAGGGCCCGTCACCGTCTGTGGCCCGAGCCCACTGGCGGTCGTCAGGCCGGTCACCGTCTGTGGCCCGTGCCCACTGGCGGTCGTCAGGGCCGGTCACCGTCTGTGCCCGGGCCCACTGGCGGTCGTCAGGGCCGGTCACCGTCTGTGGCCCGGCCCACTGGCGGTCGTCAGGGCCGGTGCCGTCTGTGCCCGGCCCACTGGCGGTCGTCAGGGCCGGTCCGTCTGTGCCCGGGCCCACTGGCGGTCGTCAGGGCCGGTCCGTCTGTGCCCGGGCCCACTGGCGGTCGTCAGGCCGGTGCCGTCTGTGGCCCGGGCCCACTGGCGGTCGTCAGGGCCGGTGCCGTCTGTGGCCCGGGCCCACTGGCGGTCGTCAGGGCCGGTGGCCGTCTGTGGCCCGGGCCCACTGGCGGTCGTCAGGGCCGGTGGCCGTCTGTGTCCCGGGCCCACTGGCGGTCGTCAGGGCCGGTGGCCGTCTGTGGCCCGGGCCCACTGGCGGTCGTCAGGGCCGGTGGCCGTCTGGTCCCGGGCCCACTGGCGGTCGTCAGGGCCGGTCACCGTCTGTGCCCGGGCCCACTGGCGGTCGTCAGGGCCGGTCCGTCTGTGGCCCGGCCCACTGGCGGTCGTCAGGGCCGGTCACCGTCTGTGGCCCGGCCCACTGGCGGTCGTCAGGGCCGGTCACCGTCTGTGGCCCGGCCCACTGGCGGTCGTCAGGGCCGGTCACCGTCTGTGGCCCGGGCCCACTGGCGGTCGTCAGGGCCGGTGGCCGTCTGTGCCCGGGCCCACTGGCGGTCGTCAGGACCGTGGCCGTCTGCGCCCGGGCCCACTGGCGGTCGTCAGGACGGTGGCCGTCTGTGCCCCGGGCCCACCGGCGGTCGTCAGGACCGGTGGCCGTCTGTGGCCTGGGCGGCCGCTCACAAGGCGGCCACCGTCCGTGCCTCAGGCCATCTAGCCGGCGAGGGATGGCACCTACGCGTGACCCGCGTCAGCTGCTGAACGACGGCGTCGGTCCCGGGCGGTGGTTAGGGTTAACTACTGAATGGGAGAGACGGTTATCGGCTCCGGCCGGGATCACCTGCTAATGGAGATTGACGGCCGCCCCTGCGACTCGGGTCAACGAAAAAAATGGCTCGTGGCAGGCGCCACAGTTCCGAGATCATCGCTTACATGCTACTGCTAACGAAAGGTTAACAGACTTTCTGAAGCATAATGCTCCTTCCTACGCATCAGCAACCGTTTCGCCCATCTGAATATTCCAGATCTGTTTAAGACGACAGCAGAACATTTACATTCATACTAACTCGGAGACGAGCCTGGAAGAGCATTGACATTGGCTTGGCTAAAGTCACGCGAAGGACGACGAGGGTCCACGGATGGGCGTAGGCTCCAGATTTCCGAGATCCCGCCAAATCCATCGAGCAGGCAGCTAGGCACATCCGCAGCGTGCGCATCGAAGGCTCGATGACGACGATGCGCAGCCTGGAGGGCGTGGGGGACCAGCCCCTACTTGCTCCATCTCGAAACCCATATATATATATACACATATATATATATATATATATATATATATACGGCGCTTTATATATATATATATATATATATATATATATATTATATATAATATATATAAAGCACCGTTATCACCGGATCATTGCTTTGCGAAGGGCGCTCAGATTCCGGATCAAGATATAATACAGTCAGCACAATGGAGAATGTTGGCGACCGGTGTTGTGGTGTAGGTACTGAAGATGGCTTTATGCAATAGTACAAAAACGTTAAAATTGGGATTATTTCCCCTAAAGTTCGTGTGGCTGTTGTCACATGTGCCGTGCCGTGTGCTCCATCCGCACCGATCAGATATAGATGCAGCAAAAACTATAGAGAATTAGCACCCCTGCTGCATTTTGTACTTTTCAGTTCCCCTCCCAAAACTATGTCTCCACAGTCAATTGGTTTAGTTGTAAGTTTAGTGTTCCTCTATTTGCGTTCTTTGGACACTTGTCAACGCACCACTAAATAGCTATCGGTTGATATGCGAGATAATGTGCACACAGGATCCCGAATGTAAGGGCGCGATGATGCATCCAATCGCACTGGGGCTAACGAGCAAATGACGTAATCACCCGCCCGCGTATTGCCCGCGTGCGCGGCAAGATGGTGGGAATCGAACAGCTACACAGCTGCAGGTGCAGGACAACGCTCTGATTGGCATTCAACCGTCAGCAGTGCGGTGCGCATCGAGGGCTCCCAGTTATCCATGACGATGATGAATGACGTGCTCGAGAACGTGTTGTTCTTCATGGGTGGTGGGATCTAACAAGCATGAACAAAATCTCGGCATCAGACGCTGCGTGCGAACAAGCTGCTGATTAACCACGGCTAACAGCGTGGGTGAAACACGCGCAGCTGCGCACCGATACAGGTAAATTTGACGTGATGAATGTGATTGATTCCACGAAGGCCCTATCAGCCCAATGCATTTCAAAGCTGTCTGAAGCCATGGCCACCTGAACTCCGGGTGCGCGCACGCACCCATGTAATTTGAACCAGCCACTTTGGTGCGGGAAGGCGCTAACTAATAATCGCACGGCACGCAGGAGCAACGCAGCGAAAGTGGGCGACCTTTCCTCGGGCTGTGATCGCATGATCAGCTGGTTGTCTGCCGTCTCCAGCCTGTTGTTCCCGGTATGGCGCTGTCCCGTCAACTGTTACACTCCGATGGCCAGATACGACGCATCAGTGGCCCTTGACGCCTCACCGGTGGACCAAAATGAACGGCATTCTGTCGCAACCGAGGAGGGGAAAGGAAGACAAATGCGTTTCAATAGAAGCGAATGCTGTGTGGGCGGGAGGAAAACAGCGTAACAACGCCACGCATTGCTGAATAGTCAGCGATATCGAAACCACCTGACTTGGAGCTATAAATACTTTCACATATCCAGTGCACTTTTGCGAGAGGCTTTTGGCGTGCAAAACGGTTGGCCTCATTAGCCATTTCGACAGCACGCGACATACCACGCCAACGATACCTATAGACCAGCTCCACATGATGCAAACGTTCTGAAAAATCGCATTTTGTGAGTGCAACGCGCCTCGGACTGAGCAAAGCCTAACACCCGCCACCGCCGCCAGCGTCCTTTGCACGCTTACCTGACGTTCCGTCCTGTTGCCCAGTGGGATGTTCGGCCTGTTTGTCCTCGCTGAGTTCGCCTTCGCAGGACCCTGCGCCCGCCTGCCTAGCTGCCTCTCCCGGACGCACCAGCGCGTGCAGCGACTTAGACTTCTTGACGAGCCTCTTCAGTACGCTCAGCTTCTCCTTCTCCCTCCGATGGGTGGCGGTGCGCGCTCCTGTCTCCATCGCCGTCCGCGCGGCCCGCTCCGCCGCCTCGTCCGTCTCGAACATGGCCAGGTCGAGGTCCTCGAGCTCCGAACCGCCGGAGGAGCGGCGCCGGCGGCGCGACGGCGCCTCGTCCTCGCTCAGCGCCTCGCTCGCCTCGGGCGCCTCGTCGGCGCCGGCGCTGGCGTCGTCGGCCGACGTCGACCCCTCGGTGGCCGTGCTGACGCCCGAGCTGCTGGCGCTGGAGCGCGCCGAGCCGGCCGCGCCGCGACACGCCATCTCCGCCGACGGCCGCCGCGACCCGCTCTGCGCCACAGGCGGCCACCCCACCGGCGACGCACGCCGTTCCGTGCGCGCGACCGGAACGGCGACACTTTCACCGGCGCGGCGCGACGCGTCGGCCACCGGAGGCCGCGCGCTGCGGCGCGGCACGGGCGGCGGGCTCCGTCGCCGGGGCCGCGGCCGCGGCCGCGGGCCGGCCGGCGGCGTGGCCCGTCGAGCCGGCGCCGCCTCTGTCGATGGCGACACGTCCTGGGACTCGTCCGCCCGGACGGCAGGCCCGCAGCGCCGCTTGCGGCCGCTGGTGCGCGACGAGAGTCGCACGCTACGCCGAGGCGCGCGGTCGGCGGTGCGGCGCTGACGACGGGCTGGTCGGCGGGCGTGGACGGCCTGAGGCGAGGGTGAGCAGTCGGCGGGGCGGTAGCTTCAGTGCGGGCAGGTGACGAGGTAACTTTGACTCGAATGGGTATCGTCCGTGCATCGGAGACGCCAGCGATTGCTGGCGTGGCTCCCGCGGGGGGTCTTCCGAGGTTCTTATCAGGTACAGAAATGCGAGCGAGCACCACCTCTTCTCGCGCTGTGACTGGACTGTTCTGGGTGGCCGCCGGCCTGTCGTTCTCCGGTTTCTCGGCGGCTGACCCGTTCACCACCACACGTGACGCCTCCTTCCGCGGTGCTGGAGTGCACGAATCCTGCCCAGCCGCGCGATAGTTCCTCGAGCACGGCCGGCCGCCGCCGGTGCCTCGCGCGCGGTGGGAGCCGCCGCAGTCAGAACGCTGGCGGTGACGCGGCTGCGAGCCGCCGGCCCTCCTCCCGCCCCGGGCGACCGCGACCCCGGCGCACCGGACACCACGCACCCGTTCACCGTAGTCGCCTCGGCTCTGTCCGGACGATGCCCCGCCGCCGCACCGCCCACCGCCGCCCGCCTGCTGGCTGCCGGCGTGGCCGGCCGGCCACGGCCGCTCGGTGGCGCCGCCGCCCTCTGCGCCGTCACCGTGCGCGACGAGGGGGCGGCCGCGGCGGAGGCGCGGCGGCGCTGGCAGCGGAAGGCCGCGGCGGTGGCGGCGGTGGCGGCGGGCGCAGCCGTGGCCCGTCGCCGACCGACGACTTGCTGCGGCGGATCGACCTGCGCGTGACGTCGTGACGCGAGAGTGAGCCGCTGCGCTGCGGCGACTGGCGCAGCGGGGGCCCGGTCAGCTCCGAGGCGCTGCGCACCAGCACCGGCACGGCCGGCGGCGGCGCCGGAGCGCGCCTCCTCCAGCCCGCTGAACGACGCCTGGCGCGGCAGCAGATGGCGCCGCAGCAGCAGCGAGATGCGGCTGGGCAGCGGCGCGCGGCTCGGCACTGGCCGCCGGTGGGGCCCGAGGGCTCGTCAGTTTAGTCACTACGCGAACACGGCCGTCGCCGCCGGCGGCGCCTGTCTTCGACTCTGGCTGGGGCGAGGCGCCTGCTAGCTGCGGGCTCCTGCCGGCGTCGGGTCGCTCGCCTCCGCCGCCGGTCATGGATGCGCGCTGTGAGCGCCGATTGTGTCGAGCACGTGCCAGAGCCTGGGCCCCAGTGTTCCGCCTGAATCTCCCGGCTCGCCAATGTAGGCCTCCTCGTGGACCACAAGGTACAAAAGATGTCGCCCGTGAATAGAGCGTTAGTTAGAAACCGGACGCCACAAGCGCCGAAGAAACAAAGGCTTGACAGCGGGCCTTCAGAGTTACCTCAGGAGTACGTGGCCGCATCGGTGATCCAAATTTGAGATAATCTGGGAGATCTAACCGTTGCGTTGCGCCAGCACCAAGGCATGTGCGTGACAAAGACCGAAGTAGCATTCGCTATATACCCTACGTTGACAGCGCCATGGTGGGTAACAGACCACGATTAAGACCATATATAAAAACTGGATGCACTTCATCATCGAGTCACGAAACCCGACGGCATGCGACTGTGAAGGTCACAGGACCATTACCGGCGGCGATAAAGCTCGCCGTGCGCTGCGACACCGTTGAGAAACGCGTCTGAATTACCGTCCCCCGTTCGTGTGGATGGCCCGGCGGTACAATGAGCCTACGGTAACCGGCGCACGACTCAGCCATTTGTCCAACTGAAACAGAAGGGCAAGCGCTCACGCAAGCACTGAAGTGGGAACGGTTGTTGGTGTGAGCGCTTCGAACCAGACTAAGTGCAGGGTTGATTGTTTTCCCGGCACGACAGTACAGTCTGCGGACCTGACGGTTACTGAGGCGTCAGCGTTGCGCGTGCTTCCTCGTGGCTGCGTTTTTGTGTGCGTGTGACGGGGGCGTGTGTGTACTCGGACGCCCTGCGATAACGCCGCCACGGCGTCGTGACAGCCGTGCCTCCCGGCTGGAGCGCTCGTATAGTCTGCGCGCCGTCCTCTGACCGGTCTCGGTCAATATTGGCGCGGCCCGGGCGACGCGGCGGCAAACAAGGAGCGGCCCGAGGGTGGCGGCGGGCGGAGAGCCGGCCCGCTCCGTCCCGGACTCACCGCGAGCAGGTGCTGACTGCGCGCCGGCGCCGCAGCAGCCCCCAAAGCTCCGCTCATATCACTAGATTTCCTTGCACGTCGTGCGCCAAAGCCGTGTGAGAATAGCCTTGATGGAGCTCGAGGGCCAATACGCTTGCGAGGGAGGGGGAGCGGAGTGGAGTATTGAATGAGTTGACAATGGTCGATGTCCGACAACAGGGGGGACAGAGGTGCGGGGGCGCGCCACCAGGTGGGAGAGTGGAGGCGTGCAGTGAGTGCGGTCCACAACGGCCAACGTTCTGCAGCAGCCGTTATAAGCATTAACATAGCATTTGTTTACAATATGTATTAGCAGCATTTGCATAGCACTGACCAGAGCTTATGTTTAAGCGCCAAAGCTACACCAGTGAGTCGGCTCACTTGCAGCGGCGCTCATGCCCACAGCCCGCCTCGCTGCTTGGGGCCTATCGGAACCGATCAGAGAGTCCGTCTGCCTCGAGGGTCAGTGTCAGCCAATCAGACAGCCGGCCGGATGGGCTCGAGGGGACGAAACAACATCCGCGGGACCTGTTCGCCTGGTGGACAGTTGCTTATGCACTCTGCTGGACAGATGGCCATCAGCAGGCCACGTCTGTGGACTGCAGAGGTGCACCGGTCTGTCCAGCGCAGCCCAGACGTTCACCGGTCTGCCCAAGCGCAGCCCAGGCGCTCAACGGTCTGTCACCGACACGAGAATGATGTCTCTGTCGCCCCGAGTGCTCCCCGATGGCGCTAGGGTGAGGTCCCACCCGACCCACGAGCGTTGCCGGCAGGAGCGGCGGTCGTGACAAGGTAGGAAGTCGTTACCAGGGCCGACACGACAGTCGGCGAAAAACAACTCGGTAACTCGGCTGGAATGGCCGTCCCAGCGGCGGTCTGACGCGCCCCCGCCGGCCGATCAGAGGTCAGACGTCAGACTGACACGGCCGGGAGGGGATCCAGCCCCGCCCGACTTAGAGAACCCGCCGGCCGATCAAGAGGTCAGACCCCAGACTAACACGGCCGGGAGAGGATCCAGCCCCACCCGACTCAGAGAACCCGCCGGCCGATCAGAGGTCAGACCAGACTGACACGGCCGGGAGAGGATCCAGCCCCGCCCGACTCAGAGAACCCGCCGGCCGATCAGAGGTCAGACGTCAGACTGACACGGCCGGGAGAGGATCCAGCCCCGCCCGACTCAGAGAACCCGCCGGCCATCAGAGGTCAGACGTCAGACTGACACGGCCGGGAGAGGATCCAGCCCCGCCCGACTCAGAGAACCCGCCGGCCGTCAGAGGTCAGACGTCAGACTGACACGGCCGGGAGGGATCCAGCCCCGCCCGACTCAGAGAACCCGCCGGCCAGTCAGAGGTCAGACGTCAGACTGACACGGCCGGGAGAGGATCCAGCCCCCCGACTCAGAAACCCGCCGGCCAGTCAGAGGTCAGACCCCAGACTGACACGGCCGGGAGAGCGTCTGGCCCATTCGACTCAGAAACCCGCCGGCCATCAGAGGTCAGACAGACTAACACAGCCGGGGGAGGGTCTGGCCCCATCCAGCTCAGAGAACCCACCGGCCCCGGTCCTGGGCACGGAGGACGGGGGTCTGGGGACTGTTCACGACAGAAGACCTGACACCCCCGCCTGTTCTCACGGTATAGTCCTTTACATCCCAGCTAAGGACAGTCACCAGTCGAGGGCCTGCGGGAAAATATCACCGGACGGGACAACCGTCTGGTAACATTGTGGGGACGCAAAATAGCTCATCAGTCGACGCCACCCATTAAAGTCCAGATCATCATCATTATCATTAAAATTGGGTGTCTGCGTCCATGGCCAAGGATAACGGTTCTAGCTCTGTCACGTCTATTCGAAGAACTACAAGGACTATCAAATGGTGCACCAGGTAAAACAGTGGTGATCAAGTGACTTCGGAGAACTGACTTTAAACAATGCTTGGCAATGTGCGGTGTGAACTAATATTACCGGGACCCTTACAGTCAGCTTATTTAAAAATGATGGTAGGTTCAAATGTTTGTAGACCAAAAGATATCACAATTGCACCTATAGACACCCAGTGCGTGGTTGTCCCAAAGCCTGCTGCTCTTCGTCAACACAAGATGAAAATGAGCTCGATTAATGACAGTCCCCTAGATCCGGATATGCCAGCAATAAGTCGCAGTAACAACAATTACCCCAGACATGACTACCATCCTTGTGAGCGCACTCCCGGACTTGCCGTCGGGTGTGCTCCCGCGCACATCAAGGCCTCGCGTCCCACCCTTCGCCTGGCTGATCCTCCCGCCACCTCAGCTCTGCGAGTCCGGGGTGGTCCGGGCCCGGCGGCGGGCGGCGGCTGCGGGCGGCGGCGGCGGCCCGGTGCTCCGCCTGCGCCATTAGCGCCGGCCGTGAGTGGGACCCGACGGAATGGACGTGCGACGAGGCGGCGCGGCGGCGGGCGGCGGCGGCTCTCGAACACGCCGGGCAGCCGTGCAGACCGGCAGAGCGGCCGGCGTGGGTCGGGGGGGGTGTGGGGACCGGCCGGCGACCCCCGCACGGGCCCTAGAAGACGCCATCGAAGTGACCACGAACGCGCCCGGCCCCGCTATCGCAGCTCCAGTCATCGACTGAGCTGGGGCGGCTGCGGGACTCGGGTGCCCAGCCGATGGGGTTACTCGTCTTCCTTCATCAGGTCAAAAAGTAACCGATTCACTGCTCGCAACTTTACGACGATGAAAAGCTATCGGTCCGAGAGGGAAATGCAACAAACAATGTGACGTTTACCTGCAAGACAAGCATCCCATAACTGACCAAATATAACCCAGGCAAGGCCAATGGAGCTTCTGCTTTATCGGCACTACGAGTTGAAAGCTTTTGTGATGAATATTGTTGGCCTTGAGCACACGTGGAGATCCTGATTAAACGACGTTACCGAGCAAGCATTCTTGGCAAAAACTAGACGTTTCGAAGCTGTGTTTCATGGTCATGAGAGGTAATGGTCATGGCCACGAGTTTGGCTCGTGACCATGATGACGATGAATCCTTGAACGCAGTCCCGTGAATGACCATGAGCTCATGGTCACGTCGTTAACCCGTGACCATGAAGCGCAACTACGAGACGCCGCCTTTTTTTTCAACGTAACAAATGACAAGCACACATGACCTGGATAATGTCGCTTAGCGGGGACCTTCCTGTACACCGAAGATGGATTATTTCTAGCATCAGAAATTCCGACTCATAACCTCTGAACTGATAAAGCATGAAGCGTTAGGCAACACCGACCGACCTGGGTCAATCGCCTATCGCCGCTCCAGCTAATGATAAACAGAAAGAAAGGTGGCGCGCAGTGAGCGCGTCAATCACTGGGGATTGCCTGGAGAGCAGCGGTGCCAACCGCACTGCACCCCAGATTGACTCCCATCCGTCAAACCGGGCGTGCTCGGTCGAGGGACGCGACCCGCTCCCAAACGTGTTTACACACGCCGTCTCTGCCCTGTCGCACGGAGGCCAATGGACTGCCCTGTGAGAGCTCTCATGCGCCGGGACGGTCTGCTTTACGAGCGGCACAAGGCCGGCCCCACAGTCTATCCCGGTCCACGTTAATTTGTTGACTCAAAGTGGCAGGTCACGTTCGCGCCGCGGCGGCGCGCGCGCTGCGTACAAACCCCTGCCCGGCGGCCCGACCCCAGATGACCTGGATGGAGAGTGGGGCGGGCGAACGGCGGGATCGGCACGACCCGCCGGCAGGTGGACAGAGGGTCCACGAACTGCAGGTCAGAAGGTCAGCCTGCAGCGGCGTGTTGGACACTGACCTGCACAACGACAGGCGCACTGCACAATGCGCTACACGCGGAGGTCACAGCGAGCGCCGAACCCCCCCCCCCCCTCCCCCTCCCCCTCCCCCTGTGGTGAAGGACTGGGCTGTACTCCTTGCCAGGGTGGCGAGAAGGAAACATCACTTCACAGGGGATGAGGGATCTAGATCCAGGTGCGAGGCAGCCGTCTCAGATGCCGCCCGCGCTTCGCGGGGCCACAGCACTGACGGTGCCGGCCCCCGCGGCCCGCGTCTGGGGCGGGGTCCTTCGGGGGCCACTGACCGGAACATAACATCAGCAAGCTGTCAGTGTGTGAAATCGCGGCCGGCCGCGGGATTCCGCGCTGAATGCCGTGCGACGCGACCGCGGCTGGCGCGCCTCTTCACGACTGGCTGACGGCGGGCGCCGCGCGCTGCGGCCGGCGTCGGCGCTCGCGCGGCGGCGCCGCTCGTTTTGGGTTCCGGCTTCTTGAGATGTAGCTTTCCGGCACAAGTGGAACGGCGAAGCGTGTGAAGAGCCCAGATCTGGCGTCGCTGCCGCTCTCGAGCACGCTTACATGCGGATGCCTGCATCCAGGCCTCCTCAGAGAAACGCCCATGTTTTTTTCACGCCAGAAATGGCTCGGTGGAAGTCGTAGACATGCCCGTACTTTATTATACCAGTGGCAGGCGAGATGCAGCTGGAAGTGTACAAGCTCAAAGGTCAAGATTTCAATTCAGGACAGTCGTTTAGGTGCCGGAAAGCAGCAAAATTTACGTTCCACATGATGGTGTTCTACTTGCAGTTAGCAGCGACGGAGCGACAGTGATTATCGGGTATATGGCTTCCCGGTTGGGACCGGGATTGTTTCGGAAATTGTCTGTAACCGGAGAGCCTGGGAAAGGCCCATATACGTGGGAGGTAAAACGCCCACCTGTTTCCTTTCCCAAGAAGATAGATTTCGCATGACGCTTGATCGTCTTCATTTCCACGGCCGGTTATCAGCGCCATGATTACTTAAAACGTCTGCATTCACGGTCAAATAGTTTCGTTAACAATGCTCGGACATGAACGAGTCTGCAACCAGGGAGTCAGACTGGCTGCGCGGGCTCGGTGTCGTTCCAGTGGTAACCCGGCAGTTGGTACAACGGAGCTGCAACATCCGTCGTTTAAATAGCACTGTACAGGTATAAAGGGATGAAAACTGCTTATTTCCACACATTCATAAGATTCTCAACGGCTTTCAAATCAAACTAATTAGACAAAATTGAGTTGTGACTCGGCGTGCTGGATTTCAACGGCGCAGGCCGTAATTCCACTTCAGGAATTGCCGCAGGTGTGCGGGCCGCAGGCCGGCGGTGCCATGGCCGACCTGCGGGGACCGGTCAGGTCAGCACGGTCCGGCCTGCACGCTGACCTATATCCGGCTCGGGCCGGGCCGGGCCGGCGGCGGCCGCTGCGCCCCTCCCGCGCCGCCCGCTGCAGCGGGCCTGCACGGCCGCGGCGTGCGCCACTTCTGTCGAGGGCGCCGCCCTCCGACGGCCGGCGCTACATGACAGACAGGCGAGGGTTGGTGCAGATCACACGGACAGGGGCGGGCGCCGGTGCAGCGCTGGTCAACAGGGGCGGGAGCTGGTGCAGCGCGCCGTAAGGGCCGGGAACTAGAGCGCCGACGAAGAGCACCGGGAGCTGGATCAGGTGTATCAGCACCGGGAGCTGCACCATGTGTCAGCACCGGGAGCTGCACCACGTGTATCAGCACCGGGAGCTGCACCACGTGTATCAGCACCGGAGCCGCACCAGGTGTATCAGCACCGGACTGCACCAGGTGTATCAGCAACGGGAGCTGCACCACGTGTATCAGCACCGGGAGCTGCACCACGTGTATCAGCACCGGAGCTGCACCAGGTGTATCAGCACCGGGAGCTGCACCATGTGTATCGGCACCGGGAGCTGCACCACGTGTATCAGCACCGGAGCCGCGCCAAGTGTATCAGCACCGGAGCTGCACCAGGTGTATCAGCACCGGAGCCGCGCCAAGTGTATCAGCACCGGAGCCGCACCACGTGTATCAGCACCGGAGCAAGGAACAGCCCGGTAACCTGGGAGGCCGGCCGGGCAGCCAGTGACCCAGGGTCATTATCCGCCTCTACTGGACCTGACAACTTCGGCTGACATGTGTCGACTAGCAACAACAATGATGAACGATATGCCTATCAGAACATTGGAGCCTACGAGAAGCAAGTCAACAACAAAGCCATTTTGATCGAATCACCAGGAACGCCATCCGGATGACGAAGACAAGGACGGAGCTGCAGGAAGGAAAATTCGACGGAAACGGCACGTGTTATGTCCATGTGACTCCATGGCCCATTCCATGGGGCCAGCCACTCACAATGGGAGCTGCGGAACGGCTTTTAAGATGATAGTCAGAAGACCCTGATGAATCGAAGCTCGACACGCCTAGTTGGCTCAGCGAAGCTCGAGCGTATCATCTTTCGGCCGATGTAGACACTGGCGTTGGGAGTATCCTAGGCAAGTCTCCTACAAGCTCTAGCGGCGTACCTTGAACGAGTGCTCACGAATGACATCAAGAAGCATCAGGTGTTTCGCTGCCAGAGTCGTACGCACGAACGGAGGCAATGTCTGATTGACATCCCACGCCCGGTTCAGTAAAAGCGGCTGGAGAAGATAAGCCTGCCTCTCACTCATGATTGGCGATTCTCATGCATATGAAGGTTCCGCGTCAAGGTCGTGATGGCATTTATGCAAATATTTGCATAATTGGAATAACAAAACGTCCCGCCACTTCCCATCCTCCACACGGCACGTCTGCCACACCCCGCTCTTGGGCATCTCAGAAGGCTCGTGGGTCACAAGGGGCGCGGTCTGCCCAGGCTCTGGTACGGCTTCAGTATTACCTCCTTCTCTCACACCGCCGTCTGGCGAAGCGTCATAAAACGGGCCCAGGCCCGCTCCGGCACCTGCGGTAGAAGCTTGCCCCGAGGCACTTGTCCACTGACGATTTACACGAATCAATCACGATGGGCTCTACGTGAGTCCGCCGCCGTTAGCGCCCACGAGTCTGTCGTCGTTATCGCTCACAAGTCCGTCTCCGGGCGCTGGCACCACTGCTCACTCGGCGTGAGTCTATGGGCAGCTCCTCGCGTTACTACGCGTCCACCTTCACACCGTCAGCGCTCATCTCACGTCCACCTCGCGTCTGACGACAGCGTGCCGAACACCGCGTATTTCGGCCGCGCTCGCCTGGTGCACGCCACCCTGCGCGGCGCGCGCAGCCCGACTGGCGCGGCGCGGCCGGCGCGCGCGGCTCGCCTGGCCGCCACCGCCGGCTCCCGCCACCGGCGCCCCGGGCGGACGGAGCGCCGCCGCCGCCGCTGCCGCCGCAGCGCAGGCAGTACCGGCGGGCTGCCGCTGGTCCGGGTTACAGCGGTCACAGGGTGGTCAACATGGCTTGTGCGATGCCGGTTCAAACGGCTGTGAGTGTTGGGGACCAGAGACGCAGCAGCTGCTCAGCCCGCTGATCCGCCATGTCCGGTCAGGCGTCCACCGCGGCACTCTGGCCCTGCTGTGGGTAAGGCTTGGCGGCCCTTGGGGGTTGTATTTGTTTTTTGAAAGCGCATCAGTTAATTTTGGCTCTTATTTTTGCGCACTTTCCACACATATTCAATGTTGAAAAAATGTCCTAACAAGGAATGTCTGGAAAATGTTTGTCACTTCGTGATTGCTTATCTCGTGGCAGATAGGAATAATCGCTTACCAGACATAACACCTTCGAAGCACTAAAACCCCTTGCGACGTTTGCTAAGTAGATATCAGGCCAAGCCAACATCAAATCAAACCGGATCACCATGTTTTCTGAAAGTCGCTGCCCACGCAACCACCCCCTGGTTATTCTACTGCGGTTCTAATCCGAAAACGACAAAAATCACCATCCTCCAGGTGAAAACGACAAAGTTTTCAAGAGACCTCACGGGATCAGCAATGGTACCTACTTTATTCAGCAGAACCGGCCTTACCAGCTAGTCATTGAGCACGTATCAACCTTTAAAATAATGTATTAATTGACCCTTTTTCAATAATAAGCATCAAACACGTATTTATGCATTCCAAACACAGTTGACGGTTCTTGTCACAATTCTTGAAGTCGGAATAAAATTAATGACATCTTCATCTAGGTTCATGCAGAGCATCCACAAACAATGCTGCCAACTGCTAGCAACAACTTGACCTGATTCGACCAGCACCGCTTCTCTCATGATGCAGCTGACTGTATCGTTATATATATATATATATATATATATATATATATATATATATATATAGAGTGTGGTGTGTGTGTGGTGTGTGTGTGTGTGTGTGTTGTGGGTGTGTGTGGTGTGTGGTGTGTGTGTGTGTGTGTGGTGTGTGTGGGTGTGTGTGTGTGTGTGTGGTGTGTGTGTGTGTGTGTGGGTGTGTGTGTGTGGTGGTGTGTGTGTGTGTGTTGTGTGTGTGTGGGTGTGTGGTGTGTGTGTGTGTGTGTGTGTGGTGTGTGTGTGTGTGTGTATACAACCACAAAGCTGTCACCTTCCATCAACAAAGCGGGTTCTTCAATCACTGCTGCTTCCTTCACAATTCAGTCGTGTCAAATCTTCATCAAGTCTATGTAGCGCGTTTCAAACCACAAGCCGTCAATTTCTAACAACAAGGTGAGACTCGTAATCGTCGCGCTTTCCTCACTGGCCGCGTCGCGTCAAACGGCGCGTCACACCGCCGGTCGGGACCGCGTCGTCCGCCCTCTTGCGCCGTCAATGA